AACTCCGAGCAGTTGTTCGTCAAATTCTTGTCTTAAATCATTAACAGCTCTGTGTTTCTTCATAAGGTTTTCGTCAATTACATCAGCGTGAAAGGTTTGTTACTTGCTTCATATTAAAATAGTTGACATATCTACCATTTTTTGAAATCTGGTTTTCGAGGTCTCTTATAAAAAAACAGTGATTGGTTTTGGAACACAGTCATCGATTAATTCTCGATTTAAAACGGGAGTGTTTCCTTCTTTTTTGGGTTTTTTACCGTTAAAATGAACTAATGAACTGTTTCCAAGAAACCACAAAAATGGGGGCTTTCACTTTGTGGAATGCCAGAAGGCACTAAGATCTAATTAATGACAGTATATTGAAACAGGCAATCAGGAGTGATTAAGGTATGAAGTGAGTTGAAAGTATTCGAAAATTTTGATTGTAATGCTCTAGACTATAGGGCGTTCGTATATGTAAATTTTCTTCATACCCATTGCAAATGCAACTAGAGATGTTGTCATCACTTGTCCTTCTAAATCAAGTGTACTTTTTTGTTGTGAAAGCGTCAAATCGGCAAAAAATACCGGCATTCATCGTCTTTAATTTTTTCGTGTGGCTTTTCAGCAATCGGCCTTCCGTTTCATTTGTCTTCAGCTTGTAGGGTGGAGGGCACACATCTTAGAATTTTGGATTCAACTGGACACTTTTATCCAAACGTCTGTGAGAATGTTTTCACGTCTTGTTTAAAAAATTTCTTCGTTTCTTGTATCGAACGAAGAAATCGTCACATTGAATACCTAATACAAACTCCATTTCAACACATGGAACCCTGACTGGAATTTGCGTTTTAGTCTGTTTTGTATAAAAAAGAACTTTTTTCAAATCACAAGCACCACAGTTTGTTTTGCTTCCAAGATCATCTTCATTTACAAACTCCGAGCAATTGTTCGTCAATTTCTTGTCTTAAATCATTAACAGCTCTGTGTTTCTTCATAAGGTTTTCGTCAATTACATCAGCGTGAAAGGTTTGTTACTTGCTTCATATTAAAATCGTCCAAGCGTCTGTGAGAATGTTCTAACGTCTTGTCCGAAAAATTTCCTCGTTTTATGTATCAAACGAAGAAATCGTCACATTGAAAACATAATACAAACTCCATTTCAACACATGGAACCCTGACTGGATTTTGATTTTTTGTCTGTTTTGTTAAAAAAGGATTTTTTTTTTCAAATCATGATCACCACAGTTTGTTTTGCTTTCAAGATTATCGTCATTTAGAAACTCCGAACAGTTCCTAGTCCATTTCTTGTCTTAAATCAGTAACAGCTCTGTGTTTATTCATCAGATTTTTGTCAATTACTTCAGCGTGAACGGATTGTTACTTGTTCCATTTTAAAACACAAGACAAATCTACCATAATTCAAAGTCTGGTTTATGAGGTGTCTGAAAAAAGCACAGTGATTGGTTCTGTTTTTGAGGTGGAACACAGTCATCGAATAATTCTCGATTTAAAGCTGGAGTGTTTTCACTGCTATTTTTGAACACAAAGTCGTCCCATAGTACTAGTTTCGCGTTCATACCCGTGCTGCAATGTGAATTCCTATCTGATTCATGTTAGCTTAGCTGTCTAGATGATGCTTTGCTATTGTAGTTGGGTATCTTGTTGATTTTTTCAAATATTTGGGTATTTTAACGTTAAAATGAACTGTTTTCAAGAAACCACCAAAAATGGGGGCTTTCACTTTGTAGAATGCCAGAAGGCTTTAAGATCTAATTAATTACAGCATATTGAAACAGGCAATCAGTAGTGATTAAATTAAGAATTGAAATAAAACTATTTCAAAAAAAAACATGATTATGTAATGCTCTAGACTATAGGGCGTTTATATACGTAAATTTTCTTCATATCCATTGCAAATGCAACTAGAGATGTTGTCATCACTTGTCCTTCTAAATCAAGTGTACTTTTTTGTTGTGAAAGCGTCAAATCGGCAAAAAAAACCGGCATTCATCGTCTTTAATTTTTTCATGTGCCTTTTCAGCAATCGGCCTTCCGTTTCATTTGTCTTCAGCTTGTAGGGGGGAGGGCACGCATCTTAGAATTTTGGACTCAACTGGACCTTTTTGTCCAAACGTCTGTGAGAATGTTTTCACGTCTTGTTTAAAAAATTTCTTCGTTTCTTGTATCGAACGAAGAAATCGTCACATTGAATACCTAATACAAACTCCATTTCAACACATGGAACCCTGACTGGAATTTGCGTTTTAGTCTGTTTTGTTTAAAAAAGAACTTTTTCAAATCACAAGCACCACAGTTTGTTTTGCTTCCAAGATCATCTTCATTTACAAACTCCGAGCAGTTGCTCGTCAATTTCTTGTCTTAAATCATTAACAGCCCTGTGTTTCTTCATAAGGTTTTCGTCAATTACTTCAGCGTAAAAGGATTGTTACTTGCTTCATAACAAAACAGTTGACATATCTACCATATTTAAGGTCTGGTTTTCGAGGTCTCTTTCAAAAGCACAGTGATTGGTTGTTTTTGAAGTGGAATACAGTTATCGAATAATTCTCGATTTAAAGTGGGAGTGTTTTATTGCTGATTTTTTTTGTTTGGGTATTTTACCGTTAAAATGAACTGTTTCCAAGAAACCAGAAAAATGGGGGCTTTCACTTTGTGGAATGCCAGAAGGCTTTAAGATCTAATTAATTATAGCATATTGAAACAGGCAATCAGTAGTGATTAAATTAAGAAATGAAATAAAACTATTTCAAAAAAAAACATGATTATGTAATGCTCTAGACTATAGGGCGTTTATATACGTAAATTTTCTTCATATCCATTGCAAATGCAACTAGAGATGTTGTCATCACTTGTCCTTCTAAATCAAGTGTACTTTTTTGTTGTGAAAGCGTCAAATCGGCAAAAAATACCGGCATTCATCGTCTTTAATTTTTTCATGTGCCTTTTCAGAAATCGGCCTTCCGTTTTATTTGTCTTCAGCTTGTAGGGTGGAGGGCACGCATCTTAGAATTTTGGACTCTACTGGACACTTTTGTCCAAACGTCTGTGAGAATGTTTTCACGTCTTGTTTAAAAAAACTTCTTCGTTTCTTATATCGAACGAAGAAATCGTCACATTGAATACCTAATACACTCCATTTCAACACATGGAACCGTGACTGGAATTTGCGTTTTAGTCTGTTTTGTTTAAAAAAGAACTTTTTTCAAATCACAAGCACCACAGTTTGTTTTGCTTCCAAGATCATCTTCATTTACAAACTCCGAGCACTTGCTCGTCAATTTCTTGTCTTAAATCATTAACAGCTCTGTGTTTCTTCATAAGGTTTTCGTCAATTACTTCAGTGTAAAAGGATTGTTACTTGCTTCATAACAAAACAGTTGACATATCTACCGTATTTAAGGTCTGGTTTTCGAGGTCTCTTTCAAAAGCACAGTGATTGGTTGTTTTTGAAGTGGAATACAGTTATCGAATAATTCTCGATTTAATGTGGGAGTGTTTTATTGCTGATTTTTTTTTATTATTTGGGTATTTTACCGTTAAAATGAATTGTTTCCAAGAAACCACAAAAATGGGGGCTTTCACTTTGTGGAATGCCAGAAGGCACTAAGTTCTAATTAATGACAGTATATTGAAACAGGCAATCAGAGTGATTAAGTTATGAAGTGAGTTGAAAGTATTCGAAAATTTTTATTGTAATGCTCTAGACTATAGGGCGTTCATATACGTAAATTTTCTTCATACCCATTGCAAATGTAACCAGAGACGTTGTCATACTTGTCCTCCTCGATCAAGTGTACTTTTTTGTCGTGAAAGCGTCCAATCGGACTTTCTTTTGGCTGTCTTCAGTTGTAGGGTGAAGGGCACGCATGTTAGAATTTTGGACTCTTTTGGACACTTTTGTTCAAACGTCTGTGAGAATGTTCTCTCGTCTTGTCTTAAAAGTTTCTTAGTTTCATTGATCAAACGAAGAAATCGGCACGTTGAATCCCTGCTACAAAGTCCATTTCAGCACATGGCACCCTGACCGGAACTTGCCTTTTTGCTTCTCCTTTTCAAATGAGCACTCTTCTTTCAAATCACAACCATCCCAGTTTGCTGTACTTTCGAGATCATCGTCATTTAGAAACTCCGATTAGTAAATCGTTAATTTCATGTCTAAAGTCATTGCTCAATGTTTCTTCATCAGCAGCGTGAACGGATCCGTTGATTTTTTTTCATCACTAAAAAAGTTGACTTCTCTGCCATAATTTGAGGCCTGGTTTTCGAGGTCTCTGAAACAAGCACAGAGATTGATTGGTTCTGTATTTGAGGAGGAACAGATTCATCGATTAATTCTCGATTTATGGCGGGAGGGTGTTTCCCCCTGCAATATTCGAGCTCAAGCTCGTATTTGACTGGTTTCTCGTTCATGCGTTTGCTTTAATTTGGTTCCTAATCTGATTCTTCGTATTTTCCTTGCCCAGATGATGCTTTAATATTCTTGTATTGTGAGTTTCTTGTGTTCAACTGCGTTTCTTTTCTAAACCTGTTTGGTTTTCTTGAAACAAAGCGAAGTCACTTCTTTTTGTCGCTGTCATTGAATAAATACACGATGGCGTGTCTGGCGAATAAGACGACGCTACATGAAAATTCTTCAATTTTGTTTCTGAGATTTAGAATTCGCTGAAATTCCGAGTTCGATTTACGTGTTCCATTTCTCATTTTTGTCTTAATTTTATGTCGTTTAAATGTATTGTATAATACCTAGCACAACTGGATGGAACTAAACAAACTAGTTTTTTGGAGAAGTTGAAACAATCAAGAAACAGCTCGTAGGGGGTCAAGACTGGCGTCTTTTCAAAGCTATTGGTCATGTTTTAGATTCCAAAAAATATCAAAAAGTTCTCTGTATCGAGAAAGACTAATCTGAATAATTTTTGATTTCATAATAATTAAGAGGATTGTTTTAATTTGGCTTTTGATTTCTGACTTTTTCAAAAAATTGATTGTTGTTTTAGGTTGGATCTAAGTTGAGGATTGAGCCTTGCAAGCAATGTGGCAAAGTGTTCGAAAGTAGTCAAATGGCAGAGCATCTGCGGAGCCACAGAGAAGAAAACCTGTTCAGGGTATGCGTCCTAAAATTGTGATGGATTTAAAAAACATTAAATTATTTTTGCATGGCAAAAACAACCAATAGAATACATCGCAACAATGATTTGGAAATTGATCCTTGATGCTTTGAAGTAAAGTTTTTTATCGTCATAAAGAAATATTTCAAAAATAAATTACGCGATCTGAAAATGAAATCTGGGTTCGGAGAAAAAAGTTCATTTCTCAACTAGTAAAATTTCGGTTTGGTTTTAGAGTCAAATTTAAAATAACAAGAAACATTTTCAAACATGAAACATTTTCAACTACATTGCCAAAAATACGAATAAGTTTCCAGCTAAAGCTTTTCAAAGCTCAGTAGATTATAATCATTGGTATTATTTCACTTATTAATACAAATGTTCGAAAAAAATTGCCTGAAAATTAAATATGATAAATACTTCCTGAATTTTCCAATCCGTTTATAGTTTACCGGCTAAAAACTGCGAACTCTCACTGTCACAAGCAGTGTGCAAATGAAATGTTCATTAACCTAAAGGAGCTCTGAACCTTTTGTTGTGTGTTTAGTGTCGTGAGTGTGACTTCACATGTAGAAGTAAGGCCTACATGATGACTCATGAGCAGACTCACCAACAGGCCAAAGTGGACGTGGCATCGACAGAAGAGCCCAAAGAGATCACCAACTCCAACCAGGACGCCCTCTCGTGTCCGATGTGCACCGCTTATCTGAAGACGGAGAAGGCTTTCACTTCGCATATTGTCAATGTCCATTTTGAAGATGACACTTGCCCCCAATGTGGACACGAGGTTAGAACATGTCGTGATTAAAAGTTAAAAGTGTTATAATATAATAAAATAATAATACAGTATTTAGGATGCAGAGATCCAAGATGATTCTCATTAACCGGTTTTCAGTTTTTCAGAGTCAATGAACGTAGTGAAGATGCTAATTTAGATAGTAATTATTTTTTTTTCGTAATAGAGATCGCAGTGAAGAAAAAAGTCTTGGAAGTTAGTTCACGCTCAAATTAGATTTTTCGCGGTTTGACTTTCTCAGTTCAATTCGTTTCCTTTGTAAAATGGAAGGCAAAATCCACTATCGAACAGCAAAAATGTAAAGGTGACGAAAAACGTGATCGACTTTTGATTTCCAATGTGGATTTAAATTTTTAGATTTCCCGCCGGAATGAAATTACCTAATCCACTTTTCTCAAATTGTGTTGTTTTTATCACAAAAGTGACAGTAATAATTTTTCTCAAAATTTCAAGAGCTTTAAGGGCATAAATCTGTTTCTTTGAAATCGCAAGTTGGTTTTTATACAAAAAAAAGAAGTTTAACAATTTGATTTTTTTTTCTGTTTCCTTGCGGTCATTGACTTTTCCCACTGCCTGTTAGCTCTGTTAATTAAGTTCAAGTTTGTTGACACCTGCGCCGAATTTGTAAGCACAGTTTGTTGGCCATGAGCAGACACAGCTTCTTCAGTTTTTTTTTTGGCAAAAGCTTTTCATTTTGGCTAGTGTTTTCATAAACTTGATATTGTTGTCTGTCCTCATTTTCAGCTGCGTTGTTTAATAGTAGTTTAGATTTTGATAAAAATCTAACACGTCCAGTCAAGATGTTTGATCGAGAATATGAGTAATATTTTGACCCTGAAGGTAAAATTATGGCGTCTCTTTTTTCTGTTGAATGCTTAATCTGAAAGAAATGTTAAAAAATGAACATTACTTGCCTCTGAGCTTTATTTTGGTGTTGCCTCATTGACCAAAGATCTTCTGAGGTGTATTCTAGAATTAAGTAATTATAGTTTTTCTCCAAATATAAAGTTTTATATTACAATGATAACAAGAGTTCAAAACTCAACCATACTTTTTTTCAGACACTTGGTTCTAGAAAAGTATGATTGAGTTAAACTCTTAAATAAGGATTGGAAAAGCATGCCTGAGAAGAGCTGAACTTGTTTAGTTTCTTTCCACTGAGAGTCTTGATTGCAATGATATAAAAATGGGAGAGATAATTCTTATCTTCGATTTAGTCGATGTAACTTTTTGTTATCAAGAGTCAATGAACGAAGTGAAGTGAAGTGAAGTGAATTTTATATAGGTTGTTTCTTAATTTTTTTCCGATGCTGACATTTTAAAGCTCGTTTCTTTAGTTTTTTTCCGATGCTGACGCTTATAAAGGTGGTGTTTTTTTTAGTTTTCCAGGAAAAGTTCTTCACAATTAAGTATGATTTTGCGGGATGTCACTTTTGATTTTGTTTGTGTTTCAGTCGGCTAACAGAGGAGACTTCCACTGCCACCTGCTGATCCACAGTGAGGAGAAGTCCTTCGCTTGTAACCTCTGTCCCACCGTCCTCAAACAGGAGGGCAAAATGGAGGAACACTTCAGAACCAAACACCCAGGACTCAGGGTTAGTCCAGTCGAACATTTGGTGTTATTCCAGTGATACAAGAGGACAGTTGAACTAAACAGTTTTTTGTTGAGTTTATGTTATCATCTATGACATGCAAAATAGCTTATCGGCTTGCTGAGGCATCCATCTCACGAAAAGGGAAGAGACTACGGCATATTTTTTAAAACCATTTATCCACGAGGGAAAGGTCCAACAAACGAGCTGTACAGCTCATCACGGCGAAACGCTGTTGTGCTCCTGCTGAAGAACTACATGCATTTTGTTGGTTATTTTTTTTCTGGGCTGGGTATTGTATAGAAGGAACTATGGCGAAAATAGTGTAGGAATAACTCGTAAACGCTCCTCTAAATATGGTTCTAAATTGCACTCGAAGTTGGGCCGTATATTTAACACGAAGATATATTACCAGGTATTACTTTTACACAAAATTTATGAATTTGTGATCATCGGTTCAAAAACGTTATTTTAAATGTCTGTATTCATAAAGAGTTCATGAATGCAAGTTTGTTTGGTTTTAGATGCACTACACGTCCTTCATAAATGAGAACCCAATTCCGATAGCTGCCATTGCCCAAATGCCAAAACAAACTCAACTACAGACAGGCCCAGAGACAACAACAACAACAACAACAGGCGATTTGTCCATGCAAGCTGAGCAGTATCCTGCTAGTCAACAAAGTGATCAGGACAGTGGGTATAAAGTACCTTCGGAACAATCGCTGGAGTCCCAAATAGCGTCTTCGTCGCAAGCATCGTCGGATGTGGATTACCAGCAGAAGATTCAAAATGATGCATCCAGATTGACGACCGATGAGGGGGTTCGAAATGAGGATACCCAGACGAATCAAGAGTTCCGACAGGATAGCGGCGGAGTGAGTGGTTTAACGGGATCTGAGATGCCAGTTGGCCCGAGTAGTGACTTGCCAGTGGAGCAAATGATGATTACGGAAGACCAGATCAACGCAGCACTTCAGGCTTTGGTTGAAGCAGGGGAACAACTACCTGAAGGTGAGAAATTGGATAATCTGCTAAATAGTCTATCTGCTTAGTAAATAGATAATCTGCAAAATAGGGAAATTGGAAATCTGCTAAAAAAAGTCTTTGGTAGTGGTGCTGCACGTGCAACACTCGTTAGAAAATAGCCTTCGAATTTTCGCCAAAAATGTTGGAACATTCAATATTTTATCGGGTTTTTCAGTTTTCTTGAAAAAATTGAAGAGCCATTTTTAATAAAAAATTTTCACGTTTTCATGATGTTTAGCATGTTCACACGATCTTCAATAAGTGTTGCGCTTTTCTTGTTTTACTAAGTTTCTAGCAGTGCTGAAAACACGCATAGACGGGGGGGGGGGTAATCGAGAATGGTATGCAGATAGTTTTCCTTGCCAAATTAGTGAGGCTTGGATACTTAGTGTAAATTTCTCACCTTCAGGTAGAATGTTTAGCATGTTCATACGATCTTCAATAAGTGTTGCGCTTTTCTTGTTTTACTAAATTTCCAGCAGTGCTGAAAACACGCATAGACGGGGGGGGGGGGGTAATCGAGAAAGGTATGCAGATAGTTTTCCTTGCCAAATTAGTGAGTCTTGGATACTAAATGTAAACAACTCAATAACACGCAAGTCAAATGGGACCGAATATTCGCGAGAGCCTTCGAAGGTTTATAGTATTATAATAATCAAAATAATAATAATAAGGTTTTTCCTCGAACGAACATTCGGTTTCGCTTCTAGTCACTGGTTAGAAAAATAAAACAAGGATAGTCGGTTACTGTGCAAGTAGCACAGAATGTTCAGACCATAATCTTTAAAAACCTATCACGCAAAAAAAAATAACATTAATTTTTTTCAAAAAAGTTATTTTTCTATTAGGTTTTTAAAGACTAGTTTTTTCTGCGTGGCGTGATAAAAAGATCTGACGTAAAACTATAATTTAATCATATTCGACATTCATAAAAACTTAGACAAACAAGGCAACAGATTTTTAGAAAAATGACTAAAACGTCAAAAAATCAATCAAAAAGAAAAAAAAATTCTGCAAAAAAAGTTCCTTTTTTCCCAAAAAGGCTTTAGAAATCTCCAAAAATTAATTTTTCATTACGCGAGTGAAATAAAAATTTAAGCTGAAATAATCTATTGTAAACGGCCTAAATTAAGCATAAATAACCGTGCTCGCTCGCTTTACTAGCTCGAATTTAGACGAAAAACCAAACATTTCAAACCGGTTTTTCTCGAAACGGAAAAAAAATGTTGTCGTTCTAATCTTGACTGAATGAGATTCAAAATGATATATCACTCAATTCAGTCGGATGATTATTTGTGGTACCTGATTTTGCGTGGAAAACAAAAAGAAAAAGCTAAAACACCCGAATAAAAAGTTCATCCCCATTTTCAATGGTCGGAACAACAAGCCTGGAGAAAATAGTCACTGGTTACAAAAATCTAACAAATAATAAATGGTTACGTCTCCGCCTCTTAATCGAAAGGTCAGATGTTCCGAGGCCCACTATTCTCAGTGCTCGTTGTTTGATGATGAAGCATTACTACTCAGTCCAAAAAAAATTGAAAATGCATATATTTACACAAGCAAAGCTTGTGTGATAGTATGAACTCTTTTTTTTCCAAGCTAAGTCGCAAATATCAGTGTCCATTTTGATCAATAACCAGCTGTTAAATACAGCCAATGCTAAGGATATTAATACATTCTATTACATTACACAGCAAGGTATCATGGATCTGTAGCGTAAAGGCAGGAAAGGAGACCCGCAACAAGATAAGAGGGTTCGAACCTGGGCAGGGTTTCGAAATTTTGTAGACTCATTCAGTTTTACTCATTCAGTTTTTTTCCACTAGTTTTATTGGTTGTATTTTTGCTTGTGTATGCGAATTGCAACTTCACCTCTGTGTTATATAAATGCATGTGGGTAGGGTTGATTTGGTGCATTGAAAATGTCATGTTGATTTAGGCGCCGAGATTATGGTTGAAGACAACACGCTCTATGTTGACGGAGTTCCTAGGGTAGTCATAGCTCCTGCTGACGAGTCAGAAATTGAAGAACATTTAGACCAAGGTCAAATAAATCAACCACAGGATTCAATGAATGTAAACGATACAGTTAATCAAGCACCTGCAGATCACGTGGAAAAAATGCCAACCTCAGGCAATGCAATGCTGGATCCGGTGGTAGCTTTCGATCAGCAGTTCATTATGGATACTAATGCCAACAATTCGAACGCTGCTGGACAATACGAGACCCAAGCAACATTAAGTGTCCAAAAGCCGGAAGGTTCAGCAGCAGTTGGGTCATTTGACGAAAATTTAGCCATACCAACCGATGCTACAACTTCGGTGTCTGAATCGATTAGACAGCAGAATTCAGATACACAAGTGCAAAATACGGCCAATTCGGAAGAAGACTTTCTGAATGTTCCTGGCTTCGCAGCACCAGGCTCCGGTGAGCAACGCCTAGAACAACGAAGTAATGTAATTACTGCGGAGGATGTCATGACGCCAAGTGAAATGCCTGTTTCGATAACAAACACGGAAGCGTACATTGAGAAACCTGTTAGCCAAGTAATCGAAGAATCATCACAGAGTGATCAAGTCAGTTCTATAGGCGAGCAACCACATCAGCCTAATGAGAATATTGAGTTGCCAGAACCAGATCAAATTTTAATGGGTGTCCAGAATTTGGACCACGATTCTCAGGAGCCACACTTGCAAGTTCCAAACGTGGAAGAACCAGATTTGGTCCAGAATTCTGGTCAGGAACTAGTAGATCAGCAACAGCCAATTGGCGAAGAGGAACAGTACATTGATCTCTCCAATTTAGATCTGTCCAATGTTGATTTGCCTCCTGGAAACTACAATTTAGTGATAGATGAGCAAGGACAAGCTGTGTTTGTGGAAACAGATGTGATTGACGAGAACACTATTCAGATTGTAGCTCAGTAAACTTTTGGTTTGAAACATTGGTGGATTCTTTTGAATGATTTGCTTGTAATTTTGTTTCCCCAAGTATTTCTGTCGTGCTCCTTAATTGAAATTAAATGTTCCTTTTGCATGTTTTTAGTCTAAAAAAATGGCTGGTTGATATGCAAGCAGCACAGAAATTACTGAGCACATTTGTTACAAATAGCGCATTTGCTTAAAGAAGAATTTAACGGACTTTCTCTTGCTATCTAAGATACTAACACGATAAATCACTCTGTAAAAGCAACAGATTTACGCCCCGTACACTGACTGCTTAAGGGTGCCAACCAAAGTACCATTTGAGGTCAAATATACCGCTTACTTAAATGCAGCATGATCAAATGTTATTTTAAAGACCGCGAACAATAACCGGTTGCTCTAAGGAGTAGAGTCTCCGTCCACAATTTATTATTGCAAAAAATTAACGAATACCAATGAGCAATCGAGATTTTTATTCAGATTATCCACCTCGCAAGAGTGATATGATACGATCATTTCATTTTTACCAAAGCAATGCTTGAGTTAAACAAAAAAATTGGTTTAATTGCACAGCAGATGAGCTACATTTTCCGCTTTTTTATGCATGGTATCTAAGAATTTAATATGCGTGAAAGTAGTTTAAGGCAAAGGAGCTGAAGATTCCACAGCCTGCAATGCCCCGTTTCTTTTATCGAGTCGTTTTACTAATTTGAGTCAATTTTAAGTTGTAAATGACAATATCTCTTTTATTTCGTTCGTTGTCAAGGAAAAATCCACGAACCGGAAAAGTGTAGAACTCACAAAAAACATGATCGACTTCATTTTTAATTTCAAATTTGCCAGCAGATAATAAAATTTACCTGTTCATCCAGTTTTCTCAAATAGGGTTACTTGCATGAAAAAGTTGCAGATCATAAAATTTATTTATTGCAAAGAGCTTTAAGGGAATGTATTATTTTCATTGAAGTTCGATTTTTTTGTTGGCTATGAGTTTTCATTTCATGTCTTTGTTTAAAAGCATGGAGAACTCCACTATCGAACAGCAAATGTTGAAATCTCAAAAAAAACATCGAGTTCCAGCTTTGTGGGTTTTAGTGCTTAGATTTCTCAGCTGAAAAAAAAATCATGTAATGGCTTAGCAGTTTTCTCAAATTTTGCTAGTAAAATATAAAAGTGTCGATCATACATAGCTCTTGAAGTCCAGATTTTTGAGGCCGTCTATTTTTTTCGAAATATTTTTCTAAATAGATTTTTTAGTGTATGAGAACGAAGTCGGTTTCCCATGATAGGTCGTGACGATTTTTTTCTCAGGAAAACGTGTTCAAATGCTCTAATAACTACAGAATTATAACATACTTATAAATGCACGTCTTGAACTCAATTTAAAATCATTAGCTAAATTGTAGGAAAATTGCGCTCTGCAATTACGGAAGCGAATTTTACGCGAAAGAGCGTGATCGATCAGTTTTAGCTTCAAAAGAAGACTGAAAACTAGACTTTCATAATAAAAAAAGTTACCAATTGGCTTCATTGGACTGGAAAATCCAATTGGGTTCGATATTCCTGAAGCGCGTTACTTTTAACAAGAAAATTGCGAATCATGATCAGTTCTTGAAAGTCAAAGTTCTCTAACCAGATATTTCTTTCTCTGAAACTCGAAATTGAAAATTAAAAAAAAAAATTCAGCCAATGTTTTTTGGTTCCTCTTATTTCTGTTAATGTTTTCCTATTTTTGTTGCTTTTTTCTCTGTTCTTTTTTTGCAATCAATGTGTTCCAAAAGCCTTAGAATTCCAACTGTTTTGGCTGAGTTTGAAGCTTTTTCAAAGCATTTTCTGACTAGAAAATCAACTATATTTTTTACTTCTAGATTTTCAAGTATCTCTGGTGCTCATGAATTTCAATTTTTCATCATTATTTGGAATCTTTGACAGAAAAACGCCTAAACATCCAAATTATGAACTAAATTTTGATTAAAACGTGCAAAATCTATTGTTATAATCTTGCTTAGTTAGAAGATCTTTTTAACTGTACTTTTTAAATAGTCATTGGAGTTGTTTCTAAACCGTAATTTTGTTATTTTGGAGGTCACTTTTTGATCAAAGTTTTGCCATTTACTAGCTACAAAGTTTAGTCTGAAAAAATTCAGACCAAGTTTTCTCGACACAGACAGCAATTTTGAATTTTTTTTGAAAGCTGGCTCAAGGCTCAAAGAGATTTAATATGTTACCCCCGTACGAGATTTTGTTGAGACGCATTTTATCGACTGAAAAGGAAACCGACTTGATCTTATATGGAGCATTCTAGGAACAAAAATTATAAACGAACGTGAAGCCACGAGAAAGAAAAAGTTGGTAAAGAGTATTTGTTTGCGAAGAAATGTATAAGTGCCATTTTCCATTGTTTTAGCTATTGAGTTGAATCAGAAAAAATGGTATCTGTCCGTCTTTTAGCAGTGTAAATTCACACTGTTTGCATTTTCTCCAAACATTTCATTAAAGGAGGCTTGAACAGATAAATCATGTCCAAACCATCTTTAAATTTGTCTTTCATTTACAACACCAAATTACCAAACTATCAATGGCGAAAATTTTCCCATCATTATTGTAGTCGCAAATCTAATTTTAGCTTTGAAGTTTGTAGCAATGCTTGAGTTAAACAAAAAAATTGGTTTAATTGCACAGCAGATGAGCTATATTTTCCGCTTTTTTATGCATGGTATCTAAGAATTTAATATGCGTGAAAGTAGTTTAAGGCAAAGGAGCTGAAGATTCCACAGCCTGCAATGCCCCGTTTCTTTTATCGAGTCGTTTTACTAATTTGAGTCAATTTTAAGTTGTAAATGACAATATCTCTTTTATTTCGTTCGTTGTCAAGGAAAAATCCACGAACCGGAAAAGTGTAGAACTCACAAAAAACATGATCGACTTCATTTTTAATTTCAAATTTGCCAGCAGATAATAAAATTTACCTGTTCATCCAGTTTTCTCAAATAGGGTTACTTGCATGAAAAAGTTGCAGATCATAAAATTTATTTATTGCAAAGAGCTTTAAGGGAATGTATTATTTTCATTGAAGTTCGATTTTTTTGTTGGCTATGAGTTTTCATTTCATGTCTTTGTTTAAAAGCATGGAGAACTCCACTATCGAACAGCAAATGTTGAAATCTCAAAAAAAACATCGAGTTCCAGCTTTGTGGGTTTTAGTGCTTAGATTTCTCAGCTGAAAAAAAATCATGTAATGGCTTAGCAGTTTTCTCAAATTTTGCTAGTAAAATATAAAAGTGTCGATCATACATAGCTCTTGAAGTCCAGATTTTTGAGGCCGTCTATTTTTTTCGAAATATTTTTCTAAATAGATTTTTTAGTGTATGAGAACGAAGTCGGTTTCCCATGATAGGTCGTGACGATTTTTTTCTCAGGAAAACGTGTTCAAATGCTCTAATAACTACAGAATTATAACATACTTATAAATGCACGTCTTGAACTCAATTTAAAATCATTAGCTAAATTGTAGGAAAATTGCGCTCTGCAATTACGGAAGCGAATTTTACGCGAAAGAGCGTGATCGATCAGTTTTAGCTTCAAAAGAAGACTGAAAACTAGACTTTCATAATAAAAAAAGTTACCAATTGGCTTCATTGGACTGGAAAATCCAATTGGGTTCGATATTCCTGAAGCGCGTTACTTTTAACAAGAAAATTGCGAATCATGATCAGTTCTTGAAAGTCAAAGTTCTCTAACCAGATATTTCTTTCTCTGAAACTCGAAATTGAAAATTAAAAAAAAAAAATTCAGCCAATGTTTTTTGGTTCCTCTTATTTCTGTTAATGTTTTCCTATTTTTGTTGCTTTTTTCTCTGTTCTTTTTTTGCAATCAATGTGTTCCAAAAGCCTTAGAATTCCAACTGTTTTGGCTGAGTTTGAAGCTTTTTCAAAGCATTTTCTGACTAGAAAATCAACTATATTTTTTACTTCTAGATTTTCAAGTATCTCTGGTGCTCATGAATTTCAATTTTTCATCATTATTTGGAATCTTTGACAGAAAAACGCCTAAACATCCAAATTATGAACTAAATTTTGATTAAAACGTGCAAAATCTATTGTTATAATCTTGCTTAGTTAGAAGATCTTTTTTAACTGTACTTTTTAAATAGTCATTGGAGTTGTTTCTAAACCGTAATTTTGTTATTTTGGAGGTCACTTTTTGATCAAAGTTTTGCCATTTACTAGCTACAAAGTTTAGTCTGAAAAAATTCAGACCAAGTTTTCTCGACACAGACAGCAATTTTGAATTTTTTTTGAAAGCTGGCTCAAGGCTCAAAGAGATTTAATATGTTACCCCCGTACGAGATTTTGTTGAGACGCATTTTATCGACTGAAAAGGAAACCGACTTGATCTTATATGGAGCATTCTAGGAACAAAAATTATAAACGAACGTGAAGCCACGAGAAAGAAAAAGTTGGTAAAGAGTATTTGTTTGCGAAGAAATGTATAAGTGCCATTTTCCATTGTTTTAGCTATTGAGTTGAATCAGAAAAAATGGTATCTGTCCGTCTTTTAGCAGTGTAAATTCACACTGTTTGCATTTTCTCCAAACATTTCATTAAAGGAGGCTTGAACAGATAAATCATGTCCAAACCATCTTTAAATTTGTCTTTCATTTACAACACCAAATTACCAAACTATCAATGGCGAAAATTTTCCCATCATTATTGTAGTCGCAAATCTAATTTTAGCTTTGAAGTTGAAACCAATTTTTTTAGAAGTCTGAAAACTTGCTAATAGAGCAAATGGAGGTTGGATAAATTCTAACTCAAAAACGGATGAAACTTTATATGGGGTTCAAATATTTGGTTCAAATTAGACAAAAATACCGAGAAACCAAAAATTTATTTTTGAAACAAAGTTTTTCATTTTTTGCGCCTGTTTCAAGTAAAGAACGTAATTTGTAATGCATTTACCAAATGAATTTGAAAAAAGTTTTTAAAAAACGCAAATTAAACCACAAAAACATACCATGAGCGTAAACAAAATAACTTCTTCTTCCGATTCCCAAAAAATGTGTTAACAAGTATATTCACGTCAATCCAATAAGGCTTACAAGCTCTGCAC